GGGGACTGCCCCCCCCCCCCCCGAGTGACTGCAGCTTGGTGCGGGGATTTGGTCCGTCGGCGAAGGGCTTGGGGGGCAGAAGGGAAAGTTGAGGGGCTGAGCGTTACTGTGACGTCCGTGTCTCTGGGCTGCCCCTTCCCCCGCTCTCGCCCCGGCCTGAGCAGGGCCCTGCTGTATGCGGGTTTGGTGTGTCTATGGTGCCGCATCACCAGGGTCTCTTCTGCCCGGCCCCCCACAACCTTTCTCCCCTGGCTCCACAGGACAAGACCTGGCTGTGGACAGATGGCTCCCGCTTTCGCTACCGTACTTGGATGGCTGGCGAACCAAACAATGACAGAAGCAGGGAGTACTGTGTCGAGATGTACGCATCCACCGGTAAGGCAAAGTCTCAAACACACCTGCAACCAGAAAGGAGCCCCGCTGGGACCCTGCATATGGTGCCGCATCACCAGGGTCTCTTCTGCCCGGCTCCCCACAACCTTTCTCCCCAGGCTCCGCAGGGCAATATCTGGGTGTGGATAGATGGCTCCCTCTATCGCTACCGTACTTGGGCGGCTGGCAAACCAGACAACATCGGAAACAATGAGTACTGTGTCGAGGTGTGGGCCTCCAGCGGTAAGCAGAGACTCAAACACACCTGCACCAAGATAGGAGTCGTGCAGGGACCCTGTGCACACCACACAGCCCGCTGAGGGCCTGGCCTCCTGTCCCGTCTCCCTGCCTCTCCCCCGGCTCCCCCAGCTGATCTCTGTGACACAGGAAATGTCTGTTTCCATGGTAGCATCTCTAAGGTCCAAGTAGCCACATCCAACTAGTCTTCCCTCTAATTCACCGTCCATGTGCCTCCCAGCCCTGGCCGGTCCTACTTGTCACTGGCCAACTGCTCCCACACGCCCGGACAAGTTCACTCCCAGCCGTTTGGCCTGGGATTGTTTAACCCCTTTCTGGCCACGGCTCACCCGTCCGGGAGAGGGGCTGTTCTAATCCCATCACTTCACATCAACAAGTGCCACACGGCTGCCAAAAACAGAAAACCTCCTTCTGGGCGGCATGAACCGGAGTGTTGGGAGCCAGACCCGAGAAGCGATTCTTCTGCTCTGCTCTGCCCCACATTGGCCTCAGCTGGAATAGTGTGTCCAGTTCTGGCACCACATTGCAGGGAAAATATGGACAAACTGGAGAAGGTCCAGAGCAATGAAACTGATGAACCTTCTCGAACACATGAGCTGGGAGGGAAGGTTGACAAAATGGGGTTTGTTCCTTGTGGAGAGGAGAAGACGGAGAGGGGGCAGGAGAGCAGCTTCCAAATACCTGAAAGGGGGTTGCAAGGAGCAGGGAGGAAAATTGTCCCCAGTAACCTCTGGTGGCAGGACAAGAAGCAAAGGGTTTGAATTGCAGCAAGAGACGCTCGGGCTGGACAATAAGAAAAACTTTGTCAGAGGCTGGGAATGGGTGACACTGTCGTGGGGTCGTCTCTCCGCACGATGCCATCGGGGGAGGGGGCACTGCCAGGGCAGGCACCACCCACTTGCCCTTCCCCCATCCCACTGATTTCTGTCTTGCCTTCTAGGTTATAAGAAATGGAACGATGTTACCTGTGAAAGGGAAGCCCCCTACCTTTGCAAGTATCAACCCAAGCCAGAGGAGCCGCTCGCCCCCGCCCAAGAGGGAACTCAGCACCCAGGCTGCAAATAACCGGGCACCTGGGACATGATCAGGCAACGTCCCAGATTTTCGGCTACGGGCCCCCCCCTGCCACTCCCTAAGAGAGCGCCTATCAGAGCCCCATCTGCAAACTGTCTCCCTGCAGTGTCTCTGTGCTAGTTACACTCCTTGCCCCTCCCTCTCTTCCCCTACACGGCTGCCGCCGCTACAGCAATAAACTCTTCTGAGCATGCAGGTCTGTGTGTGTCTCCTCTGTCCCATGCCTGGCACCGCATAGATGGGTCCATCCAGCCCCCTCTGGTCCTGAGCAGCCGGAGGCCCACTGGATAAGAGGGAGGGTGAGAAATATAGGTGAGAGGATTATTCTAAGAGGGGTGGGTGAGATTCTGTGGCCTGCACTGTGCAGGGGGTCAGACGAGATGATCATAATGGTCCCTTCTGACCTTAAAGTCTATGAGTCAGGTGGGACCTGGCCTTTGTGCTTATGGGCAGGACTGGGTCTCTACCCAGAGCACTAATGGAGGCATCGTACGGCTCTGGGCTGAGAGCAGATCCATGCCAGGCCCTGACAACTGCACCCACTGGATCCCTCATCCCCACGGACCTTGCTTCGTGAGATCTCTCCGGTAGCTGGGTCAGAAGTTATGTCCCAGGCCATACAGTTCTGCACAGTTCACCCCTTAAGTCGAATTTCAAGAATTAATCGAGAGGATTTGTGGGAAGGAGTCTGGGGGCCACAGTCAGTCAGTGGTGGAAAAAGTCCTCCCAAAAAGTCACTTGAGTAAAAGTACTGCTACTCTGAAACACATGTAACTCAGTAAAAGTCAAAGTATCCTCTTGGAAAATGACTGGAATAAAAGTACAAAAGTATCACATCTCAATTGTACTCACGTATCCAGAATTAAAAGTAGCCTTCCTATGGAAAGCTATGGGTAACCAACCGTGGTATTGTAGGGCAACTTTATTTTTCACAAACATACACACACACACATATATATATGTATTCATATATATATACACACAAAAAAACACACACAATCACATTGAAGGCGAAAAAAGGCACGGGCACGCTAGGCTCAAAGTTGTTGAGAAAAAAATATGTGGTTGTGGCCCCTTTAAGAGCCGTGTGTCTCAGGCATGCTTCCATCGTGAGCCAAGGCATTTGAATAACCATGTGCTGGTTTGACAAGAGGAATGCCTTTCGATTCAAATAAGATGGGAAAATAGGAGCTGGTAAGTGGTCCTGGAGTGTAACGTTACAGAAAGAGCCTGTGTGTATAGAATATGCATGCATGTATATACTTATATGTGTGCATGTGTGTGTGTGCATGTGTGTGTGTGTGTGTGTGTATTATATACACATATACTGTACATTTATATTTCAAATCTGCACTGTAGATGTAGTCACAACCTTCATTTATAAAACTAAAGAGAGACCAAATTAAATTATAGAATCATAGAACCACAGAGCTGGAAGAGACCTTAGCAGATCATCAAGTCCAGCCCCCTGCCCTAGGCAGGACCAATTGCAACTAAATCGACCCAGGCAGGGCTTTGTCAAGCCGAGACTTGGAGTCAAATGACAGAAATGTATTTATTTTGACCACAGTCACACATGGGCATTTCTAGCATTTTACCATCGCAATGATTATTTACAAAAACGTTTGTTCAGCCTTAGAGGCAGCTGATTTTCAAAATGATCAGAGTCCAGCCTTGCTCTCCCAGGACAAAACATGAATCCAGCAACACTGACCAATCTCCTGCAGGCAGCTGAGGCAGACAGAGGTGTGTGGGGCCGGGTGGACGCCTCTCTGATTGCAGGAGAGACCACAGCAGACCCATGGTGTGCGCCGAGCAGGCTGAATACCCTTCAAGTGGCCTTGCAGTTTCATTTGCGCGCAAGGACTTCATTGAATGAAGAAGTTTTGTTCATAGAGGAGCCGTTCTGCTGTCCAGGCGGGTCCAGCAGGGGCTCCATCTCTTGTCTGAGGTGGTCAGGACCTGTTTTGGAAAATAAATGAATGAGAACTAATAGAAAAACCAGGATAAACTTTAAAAACATCAAATGGTCTGGTAGAATTTTAAAGACTCACAAAACATGTCAATGGTTTCATGAGCTGTCAGGGCCCTGGCCAGTGGACGTTCCTTACCCAGTCTGCCCCCCTCAGTGTGGAGAGGACACACCGGCCTTTCTAACCTACGCTGAGATTCTAGCCCAAACACACTGTTTCGGTCAAATGTCAGACTGGTTTAGTAACTGCAGACAGATCAATTGTACGTAATTATAAGCAAGGCAATGAGCATGTCCCGGGGGTCACTGAAGTCTCACAGTCCGTGATTTCCACTGCCCACTGCGATATTTCCTGCCCTGGGCTAGAGTTCCAGTCCTGTCCCGTCTCCACAGCTCCCAGCCTCTGTTTGTGGAAAACGACTAGCAGTGTAAGAAGGAGGCTAGTACCAGGGGGCATGATCACATGACCCTGCAGTGTCAACGCAGCAGCTCAGAACCCGTCTGGGGAAGGTGGGCGATTAGCTCCTTCACGGTCACTCTTCCCCCTAACGGCCCATCGACTCACCAGCCAGACTGTGGCCCTTTGCCTGGCTCTGCACGTTGGTGGTTGGTGTCTCGTCCACGTTCCTAGCACAAGGTGCAGACGTGGTTCATGCAGACAATAGAACAGCCGTAGCCAGGAACTTGTAGCCTCTGCTGTGACACCTCACATGACCCATCCTGCGCTGAATACAACCGCCGTTGTGACACCACAATCTCCTCATGAAGAACACGGGGCCTGGTCCCACAGCGCTGCCCAGAGCCATCAGGATGGGCTTTGTGGGACACCTTCTAGGGGCCAAGTCAAGCAATCCAGTCCAATGGGGTGTCTACACTGGCCCTACACTTACTCTGCAGAAGAGCAGAGTGAGGGGGATTTGAGAACAGCCGTCAGCTTCCTGAAGGGGGAGGGGGTTATGCCACAGCTACCCCAGGAAGGAGGAAGCAACAGTCCATGCAGTGGGGGCAGATGGCAGAACAAGGAGCAAGGTCTCAAGTCACAATGGGGCAGGTCTAAGTTTGAGATTAGGAAAACTATTCCCCTAGGAGGGTGGGGAAGCACTGGGCTGGGTTCCCTAAGGCGGGGGTGGAATCTCCATCCCTAGAGGTGTTTAAGTCCCGGCTTGACCAAGCCCTGGCTGGGATGAATGAGTGGGGGTTGGTCCTGCTTTGGGCGGGGGCTGCACTCGATGATTCCTGAGGGCTCTGCCAGCCCTGGGGTTCTCGGATTCTTTGTTAGTAAAACCGAAGCGTTGTGGCTCCAAGAGTGGCACTGAAGTGTGCACAGCACCTCTGTGTGGCCCCAAGAGCTGCCTCACCCCAAGCCCTGTGGGGTGACCGAGACACTGGAGTTGGCTGCTGGCCCTCGCTAACACACCCCGGGCAGGGAGAGAATCGCCCCCCAGAGCAGACTGGCTTGCACCGTGGGGCTTTTGTGCCACTTTGCAGCATCAGGTCCCTTGCAAGGACACCGGGCACATGCCACGTAACCACGTCCCCGCAGTGGCAGGGCTCTGGGTACTGGGAGCCTGGTCCGGGAGGCACGGCAGGGCAGACTGTGGGTTAGGTATCCCACTTCCCCACTTACCTCAGGGCTTAGCTCATCCCACGATGAACCTAGTTCAAAGCCCTGCTCACTAGGGCCGTGTCGGCACCAGCACCGTTGTCAGCCGAGTGTAGGGGAGAAAAACTCCCCCCTTCTAGGGGATGGTTTAATCCACCAGCTACACAGAAGGGTAGACAGAGGCACCACTGCTCTGCGGTACAGTCTGTGGGGCGGCTACAGTCCAGGCCTAGGCGGGTGGGGAAGCACTGGGCTGGGTTCCCTAAGGCGGGGGTGGAATCTCCATCCCTAGAGGTGTTTAAGTCCCGGCTTGACCAAGCCCTGGCTGGGATGAATGAGTGGGGGTTGGTCCTGCTTTGGGCGGGGGCTGCACTCGATGATTCCTGAGGGCTCTGCCAGCCCTGGGGTTCTCGGATTCTTTGTTAGTAAAACCGAAGCGTTGTGGCTCCAAGAGTGGCACTGAAGTGTGCACAGCACCTCTGTGTGGCCCCAAGAGCTGCCTCACCCCAAGCCCTGTGGGGTGACCGAGACACTGGAGTTGGCTGCTGGCCCTCGCTAACACACCCCGGGCAGGGAGAGAATCGCCCCCCAGAGCAGACTGGCTTGCACCGTGGGGCTTTTGTGCCACTTTGCAGCATCAGGTCCCTTGCAAGGACACCGGGCACATGCCACGTAACCACGTCCCCGCAGTGGCAGGGCTCTGGGTACTGGGAGCCTGGTCCGGGAGGCACGGCAGGGCAGACTGTGGGTTAGGTATCCCACTTCCCCACTTACCTCAGGGCTTAGCTCATCCCACGATGAACCTAGTTCAAAGCCCTGCTCACTAGGGCCGTGTCGGCACCAGCACCGTTGTCAGCCGAGTGTAGGGGAGAAAAACTCCCCCCTTCTAGGGGATGGTTTAATCCACCAGCTACACAGAAGGGTAGACAGAGGCACCACTGCTCTGCGGTACAGTCTGTGGGGCGGCTACAGTGAAGACGCTGAGAATGAGAGGGAGGACTTGCTCACAGAATCTGACAAGAATCAAACTATTATAGACTGCTAGAACTGGAAGGGACCTCGAGAGTCATCTAGTCCAGTCCCCTGCCACACGGCAGGACCCAGTACTGTCTAGATCATCCCTGACAGGTGTCTGTCTAAGCTGCTCTTAACTATCCCCAGGGATGGAGATTCCACAACCTCCCTGGGCAATTTATTCCAGTGTTTGACCACCCTGACAGTTAGGAACTTTTTCCTAATGTCCGACCTAAACCTCCCTTGCTGCAGTTTAAGCCCATTGCTTCTTGTCCTATCTCAGAGTCCACAGAGAAGGATTTCCCCCCTTCCTCCCTGTGACACCCTTTTAGATGCCTGAAAGCTGCCATCATGTCCCCTCAGTCTTCTCTTTTCCAAACTAAACAAGGCCAGTTCCTTCAGCCTTGCCTCCCAGCTCATGTTTTCTAGACCTTTAGTCAGAG